AGGGGTATTGGTTAAGGTGGAGGTGGTGGTGGAGGTGGAGGAGGTGGTGGAGGAGGAGGAGGGGGTGGTGGTGGATGTTGATGATGAGATTGATATAGGAGGAATACCCTACAACGAAGCTTGAGAGGAACCGTTTTATGCTGCTTGCGCCGGAGGTACAAACTCCCTGATAATAGGGGCAGTGTTGGTCGATTCAACAATGGGCCATGGATTACTTTTTGTTTTGCAAAATGCGTGATATGCATTCAAATGCAAAACTAAGCTCGAGTTTTATGAATCCGGAAATTGGATTTTTCGTCACCTATCACGTGCATTGTTTAGATGATTTTTTTCCATTCGAGCCTAGATTAAAACGCCGCGTATCATTCATTGTGCCAGATTGGCTTTGCAATAGCATAGTAGTAGGTCTCTTCTTGTTTTCGCTCGCGTTGCTGATTGAGGAAATGTGGGTTAGAAGGGAAGCAACGATCTCGAGGAAAACACCATCTTCTCTCGCTGGTCGAAAGCGGACAGATACCTATGGTCTTGCGGTCCCCTTGCACCTACCTCCAACAATCCCACCAGACAAAAAACCTTCACCGTATCATCCTCAACGGATGCCCTTCGGTACTAAACACCCAACTATCCAGACTCGCCACCTCGACATCTGTAAACGTCAAGAAGAGATATTTCAGCGTCTCGGCCGCCCAGAAACTCTCCTGCATGTCGATCCAGTTACTCCCATCGCTGCCTTTTACGCTGTACACATCCGCCAACTGTGCGTATCCAAACGGCGCCTTACAATGGTTTTCCATGGCCGCGAATGCCTCCCACGCCCAATCGCGGTAGCGCTGTTCGCCCGTGATGCGCCAGGCGTAGAAGAGGCTCTCGACGTACTCGGGTCGGCCTTTGTAGACGGGGTCTGTGCTCCATATGCCCGTCTCCATGGCTTGTTTGCGCTGCTGCGCGTTTTCCGGTTGGAAGGTTGGGTCTTCGTAGCCGAATTTTGGGATCCAGGACCATGTCTCGGGGCCAATTTTAGAGGGTGTAGAGGTGTAGCTGTGGCGGCAACCTTCGAGGAGGGCGAGGGCAAAGGTGCGGAGCGAGGGTTGAGAGTAGGCTTTTGAGGCAAGTAGGATGGTGCCAGGGGCGAAGCAGGCAAGGTGGCCTTGTATATTTTCGTAAACCGTGTCTTGTTGGCGGCCAATGTAAAGATGCTGCATGGGATGCTGGGATGCGGGTGCGGAGCGAGACGCTAGGTGTGTGCGGAGCGAGTAGGCGGCGTCGAGAAAGCGTTTCTTGTAGACGTCGAGGTGGGAGTCGGATGGTGGAGCTAGGAGGGTCATCTTGACGAGGTATTCGTAGTACGAGTCGTGACCGCCATCCCAGTGTTTTGCGCGGCGAACTGGCTCTCCAGTCATGATGTCAATGGGGCCATCTACCATGCCTGCCCATGGCGTGATCCACTTGGACCAGACCAAGGGAGCCCAAGCCAGTGTGGAATTCCTGGCATAAATGGCATCGCCAGTCAGTCTCGTCAAGACACGGTTCTCGAGTATGGAAGAGCCAGCACGGGCCGGGCCAACGACGGGGTGATCATACTGTCGCTTCCCCGGATCATCGTGGAAAATGAAGGAGGGATGGGGCTCGCCTTGACCCGTGCCAAAGTCGACACGAGGCCATGGCAATCCCGTCGGTGTGTCATAAGCAGGAGCAAGCTTCTCGGCCAGCGTGACAGCATGCTCAAGTATGAGGTCGCGTGCCTCGTCATGTACAACGGTTTCGGGTATCATGCCAGCATCATATAGATCGACAATCGACAGCAACCCTCCGAGGTATCGTATCGTCGTTTCAAAGGGGTCCACAAGGTCGGTCGTTTGGTTGAAGTCAATGGCCAGTATATGTTCGATTGAATGTGACAACTCGTCCCATAAGCCCATGAGCGCCAACGTGCTTGCAGAGTCGACAATAAAGGCTCCCCAGCCATTCCGAGACGAAGAGTTCCCGCCCGACACGGGCAGTACGTCGTCACAGCCCCATGCCTGTTCTCTGTACTTCCAAAAGGTATGTCTCATAGCACTCTTCACACTTTTCGCCCTAGTTTCATGCGCCGCGCCGGTCCCATTCCAGTTTTCATACTGAATCTGTGCGCCGACCGTGGGCGTCGCTCCGGTCCGGACGGTGGGGTGCTGGAACTCCTTGAAGAGCAGGTAGAGGGTGATGACGAGAACGGCGGCAAGCAGCTTGAAGGAGGACTCTGGGTTGCGTTCAAATTTCGATTTGCCCCAGCGACGGAAGCCGGGCATTATTGGGAAAGGGAGGGCCGGGAGCTATGGGGGGGGGTGGTAGTAACGGGGTGCATCTGTTCACGAGATGCAAAAGGTGCAACCGAGGCTTGTGGTCGATCCAGCGCAGTCATATCATAATGGGCGGATAGATCGAACAGGCAAACAACCGCACATGACCCAGATGCTTTGTTTGGAATGAATGTCTGAACGTTTCAAGGTGTAGATCCTGGCGGGTATCCCTCGTCGTCCACGGTCGCTTCTCTTCCCGCAGGCTCTTGGCATGCCATCGTGACCCTTCCGACATGCCCCATCACACCCCATCCTTCCACCAGCCATTGAGCACTCCACAACCCTCAGCATGGCCGTCTGGCAGTACGTGTGCATGATACTACCCCAATGCAAATATGGTCCCGTTAACCGCGCTCTCGCAGATGGTACAAGAATCTTGCGCCCAAGACTCGCATCATGGTCGGTGTCGGCATCATGGCCTATGCAGGAGCTGGTCTCTACTTTGCAGACACGATAGAAGAGAAGTTGGGCTTGAAACCAACCGAGGAAGAGAAAGAAGAGCTACGAAACGCTTTGCCCAAGATTTCCGTCGTCGAGAGGAAGGATCAATAAAAGGTTCAAAGTCCGAGGCATGCCAGCAAAGTAGTTCCCATGTGTACTGACCGCAGGACTAGTCAACAGCATCAGTACACCGCTCTTCGTCTTCGAGGGCAAAGTCCTGTGACCATGCGATTTCCGTCGCCGATTATCACTCCAAGGTTGGAGGTTGGCACAAGGGAAAGAAGTGTTGTATACATGCGATCCATGCACCCTGTATAACATGAACCGTATTTGATTTGAGCCTATTCATTCTCATCCACAGGCCATGTCTAACCATGCACCAGCCTGGCGCATATATCCCAAACGCCATTGCAGAGCTGAGACTTACTCGTTGGGCACCCATATATAGATACGTGACATGATACATGATACAACATACATTCCACATATACAATCATCACACCGCCGTTGAACGACGTCTGCTCACCGGACGACCGCAGCCTCAACATTAGCGTCCTGATACGCCGAATCTCTAAATCTCTCATCCGAGCTCGCCGTCGCCTCACTTGCACTTGCACTACTCTCCTCCTCCTCTTCTTCTGTAGTATGCACCCTTCCCGCACTCCCTCCCATACCCCTCACCCTCGCATTCATCTCCTCCCGCGTATCATCCACCTCGTTGATCTCCCTCAACCCCTTTCCCCTTCCAAAAAAGTCTTCTGTTCTCAGCCCTCTCACATCTGCAGCTGCAACAGCCCGACGACTGCTCTTCAATGTGCCATCTGCCTTCTTGCGTCTAATGTACTCGCGTACCGGGCCCATGGCTGCATCGCGACACGCTTCTTTGATGTCGGACCCGCTCATGCCGGCCGAGACGCGGACGAGGTAATCCATGTCAAAGTTGGGGGCGTCGATTTTTGTGTCGCGGAGGATGAGGGAAAAGATGTTGTGGCGTTGGGAGGCGTTGGGGAGGGCGACGGGGAATTTCTTGGGCATGCGACGGAGAATGGCTTCGTCAATGTCTTGGATGCGGTTCGTAGCACCGAGAATGCATATCCGCTGAGGAGTCGAGGTGCCAGAGGTGGTGCTGGAGGCGAGGCCGTCCCAATGGGTCATGAACCTATAGGGAGGTTAGCATCTCGTTGGTCTTGCTCGTGTTGGACTGAAGGGGAAGCGAAGAGAAGAAGAGGGGAGACGCACTCTGCCTTTACCATGCCACTTGCTTCGTGCTCTCCACTCCGTCTTTGGCCAAGGACAGCGTCAATCTCGTCGATGAAGACGATACTTGGTTGCAATTTGCGTGCCAGGCTGAAGACGGCATTGACCAACTTGTTGCTATCGCCGTACCACTTCTCCGTCAGGGTGGAAATGTGCAGATTAATGAAGCAGGCGCCCGACTCGTGCGCCAGCGCTTTCGCAAGCATCGTCTTTCCACAGCCAGGGGGACCATAGAGCAGGACGCCCGAGGGGGCGCTGAGCAGGGACGAGCTGTGCGAATAAAGGTGTGGCATGGTGAGGGGATAGATGACCGACTCCTTGAGTTCCTCGATGATCGAGTCCAAGCCGCCAATGTCCTCAAACGATACGGGTATCTCCTCGGGCGCAACCACTTCCATGGCAATCGTCTGCTCATACGTGGTCAAATGGAGGTCCTGTATGCGCGGCCGTCTGTGCCGCGAGTCGGTCGTATCCGCGTCGCTGTCGTACTCGCCATAGCTTTTCCGCCGCTTCTTCGAGGTGAGGATGGCGTCGAGTTTGCGGGTGGCGGCTGATGCTTTGGCACGGGCTTCTTCTTTTTGTTGGGCCTCTGGGTCGAGGCGCGTGAGGAGGTTGCGGATGACAAAGTAGGCAATCAAAGGGGCGGCGGCGGCCATGAGGATGTCGGGCAGATAGCCCGTGAGGCTGCTCTTCTTGTTGGACGCCATGGGGGTACCGTGGATCCTGTGTGTATGTGTGCCTTTCCTATCTGGTTGTGGGTGGTTGGGTGTGTGGTGCAGCAATGGGGAAGAAGGCAGCGCGGAAGGGAAAACGAGAGATGTCAGTGTCGATGAGTTGTAGTTTCAATAAAGTGAAAGAAGCATGGAAGGGTTCGAGGACACATGTGCAATGCGCTGTTCCCAATACCGTACTGTTTGCACCCTCTGTTCCGCCGAGGCTCTCTGTGACTGAGGCCCTGGCCAGCCCAAGAGTTGGATCCAACCCAAGTTTACACTTCCTTGATGCCAGTTCTGTGTGGCGTTCCAGCCCTCCCACCAGCCTCGGCCTTGGCTGCCCGCATTCATCCCTCCAACCCTTCTTGTCAAGCGGTACAACGCCCATCACATATACTTGTCCTCGGTACTGCATCTATACAAATTTCGCAATTAGCTAGCAAAAGTATGACAGCCATCTACCGCCCCACAGAAGCCATCTCCCTCCTCCGCCCATGTTTCCTCCTCCCGCGCATCCAGCCCTCGGCCCGTCCAAGACGACACACTGGTCGCGCAACCCTCTCCTCGACATGCAATGCACAGGCTACACATAGTAGTAGTAGTAGTAGTAGTAGTGGTGGTGGTAGTAGCTCAGCGAGTCCTTCGTCCACCCCTCCCCCACCACCGCCTCGCAAATCAATCACCCTGACCGGCGACACGGGCCAAGTACGATGGTCTGATCTCTCCCCGGGCGAAAAAGTGGTGCGCACAACACAGCAGAGTGTAAACCTGGTGGTAGTCTTGGTTGGAATTGTAGCTACTGTACGGACCCCATCATCCCATTCCAACCCAGTCCTCCTAGAAAAAGAGAGAGAAATCAGAACGGGAAAACGAACAAACATACCTATATACATATATACATACAAACAACCCCAACTAACCATCTCCCCAACCAACCAAACAGGGCACCATCGCAACCCTCCTCTTCACCGACGTCTTCTCCCCCTCCTCCAAAACCGCCCACTTCAACCGCGCCGTCACCCAAATCCGCAACGACCCACGCTGCCAAAAGCTTCTGGGCCCTGGTCCGCAAATCGCCGCCCACGGCGAAGATTCCTGGTCCCGCTGGGCCCGTAACCGGTACATTAGTAGCACGGAGGAGACGGATAAGTGGGGGACCCAGCATATGCGCATGCGTTTCTATGTCGAGGGTTCGTTGGGGCAGGGCGTCGTGCATGTCCATTTGACGAGGCGGCCGAGTCAGAGTGAGTACGAGTGTGTGGAGTTGACGGTTAATGTCAAGGGTCATCAGAGTATTGATTTGGTGGCTGGGGAGAAGAAGGAGAGGGTTGCGCCCAAGTTTTTTGGCGCGAGATGGTGGTGATGTGGTTCTCCAAGCGGGTTTCATCTCATCTTACATGAAGGCACAAAAAGGCCGTCGCATGAACCGTGATGAACCATGCACATGGGTCAAAATGAACGTCGATATAATATCATTGACTCTACGTCTACACACTTTCATTCATCACACACGTTTGGCAAGCCCTGTGGTACCTTAAACCTCAATCCTCATCTGTGCAAGAAGCAATCAATCGTCCCAGTCATCTACTCGTCTTCCTCCTCGTCCTCATCATCTACTCGTCTTCCTCCTCGTCCTCATCATCCTCCTCATCTTCCTCGTCTTCTTCTTCTTCTTCCCCCTCATTATCCCCCTCCCCCTCGTCCACAACCTCTTCCTCTGCATCCTCCGCCTCTCCCTCATCCTGTACAAGCAAATCCTCCGCAGTGCCCCCCTCCTTCTCCAACCTCAGATACTCATCCCACTCGGGGAACATTTCCTCGTCGACCCCACCCTCGTGTGGCGGGCACCCCAGCAGCCTCGCCACTTTGCCTTTGTTCTCCTTCTCCAGTGCTTCCTTCCACTTCTTTACGAGACCAGGAGTGGCGCTGGGCTTGTAGGTTTGTGAAAAGAGGACCGCTTCCGAGAGCCGGTTCGTCTTGAAAAGCAGATCGATGCAGGCTTGTACATCGCCCATTTGCCAGAGCGCAGAAAATGCCACGTTGTTGGCCGTTGCCTCTTCCGCAAGGGAAGCCAGTTCGCGAAGACCAGTGGCGTCTGATGTAGCGCTGTAGACGAGGAGAAGAGAACCAAGATCTTTGGCTTTGACGAAGCATTCTTGAGCGAGTTGGACGTCCCAGTTTGCGAGTGCGGCATCACCAACTGTCTTCCACTTGTGCTCTGTTTCTTGCTGTCTTGCAATCTCAACAGCTTGTTGTAGTTCTCCAAGGGAAAGGGCAAGATCGAAGCGGTGTTCTGGATCGGTAGCCACCTTGAGTGCCATCTCCTTGTATCCTTGACCTTCGAGGAAACGAGCAATCTTGTTGTTTTGCTCTTTGGGAACAGAGGGGAGTATTTCTTCGGCCGCTTCGAGGTCGCCGCGGAGAATAAGAGTCTGGTACTCGACAACGGCCAGGGAGAGAGCAAAAGAAACGACATTGACGTCCTTGTCTGCAACGTAGATCCTCGAGTCGCGAGGAAGGTATCCGAGAACGTAGTGCGGCGAATCAAAGTGAGAAATAGTATAGGTTTGGTCGCCAACCAGATAGTTCAGCCGGTTCGTGCCATTCGTGTAGATGAAGCAGTCTCCCACCCAAGTACCCGTGCGAACACTACATGATTGTTAGCTGTGTATAGCTCGCATTTTTGCTCGTCGAAAACTTGCCTTTCGTTGATGTCGCAGACGACCTCAAATGCAGACTCTGCGCCGTCCTCGTCAATCTCACCGTTTTGAAGCGCCTCTAGATAGTTTTCCCTCGAGTAGCGCAGAACATAGAACGTATCATCGGTCGCCAGAGTAACAAGCTCGCCGCTCTCCGACCAGAATACGCTCTTGGGGTCGACCTCTATCCTTCGGACGAGTGCTCCAGAATCCCAGTCGAAAAGGCCAATACCACCTTGGCCCTTCACGCCGAGGAGAACACCACCACTCAGACCATCGGCAAAAAAGCCAACATTGAGGACACTTCGCTCCTTGAAGTTGCGGAAAATTTTGACGCTAGTAGATGACTCTCGTATAGCGTAGTCCTTGTCGTGCTCTTTCGAGGCCCAGCAAAAGTCCACAGCTGTACCGAAGGCTTGATTTCGAAGAGCAAGAGCCGTGTAAATAATGTATTCGCCGTCACCACAGACTGCGACAAATCGCCCGTTCGGCGAATGAAGCAACGATTGTGGGTACAATTCGGTTGAGCCAAGATCTTTGCTGGGAAGGGTGAGCCGCTCGCCATCTTTTAGCTGGTCGCTGCCCTTGATGACCGAGGTGAGGATGTCGTTATTCTTGGCCCAAAGCAGCTTTCCGCTTCCATCCATGCTGACAGCAGGCTCTTCACGACCCATGGTGATGACTACCGCTCCATCATCGAAACCGAGCGCCACCCCATTCTTGCCCTTCTGATATGCCACACACCATGCACGCTCCAAGCCATAGTTCAGCGATTGTTCTAACCGATAGGTGGACGAATGCCAGATCTTGATGGTGCCGTCTTCGGATCCAGAAATGATGACCGGAAGTTCAGGGTGGTAGACGGCAAAACTAACATTCGAGGTATGGCCTTCGAGTGTTGCGATCAGCGCTTTCGTGGTGTAGTCCCATACTTTGACAGTTCTGTCGTCCGATGTGGTAAGCAGATACGGCTTATCGGACTGCGGGTAGTAGTCGATGAAGTTGACGCCCTTGGTTTCATGCGCCTCGAGAGTAAAGTTAGGCGTAGAGCTACCGAGAGACCAGATCTTGACGGTTCTGTCGAGACAAGCTGAAGCGAATGTGTTGGGATCTTTGGGATTGATGGCGATGCCCATTACATAGTGCTGGTGACCAGCGAATTCTTGCACGCCTGCTAGGGTCAGCGTGCATTCCAATGTGGGCAAATTTTCAATTTACGTACACTTCCATGACTTGTCCCAGTCCCATAGCTTGATTGTCATGTCATCCTGAAACTAGATTAGCAAAGTTCCTGCCCATAGTGATGATGCTGCGTACACTGGCGGTGAGAACAAAGGATTGTGTAGGGTGCACAGCGATAGCACGTATATAGTCTGGGTGCGCCTCAAAAGAGGTGACCTTTTCAGAAGTATTGTAATTGTAGACTCGCAGCTGGAAGTCATCCGAACCTAAAGTGTGTCCTTGTCAGCCTGGATGGCGGTCGTCGGTAGCGGATGGGTGGTCCAAACCTGCAACAATCCAGTTTTTCCGCGCAACGAAGCGACCAGCACGGACAGGCACGTCGGTCAGTTCAAAGGTCTTGACGATCGATTGCGTTATATAGGACCAGATGTGCACATGTCCTGCGTCCGTCAGCTCCCCGCAACTGGCCAGGTGTCCAAGCTAGGCATACCGCTGTACAGAGTGGTGAGGATCCATGGCTCAACCGGGTGGAAGTCTTTGGCTTGTATTAGTGGCGCGAAGGTACGGTGAGGTAAGATTGCATACCAATGCCTGCGCAAAGTTAGCATATACTCGTGGTAGCGATACAGTCGTATAAAGGAATAACGAACCCTTGACACGCTCCGACCGCGCAAATAGCTGTCTCTATAGTTCGAACATGTCAGACTGACTCTTCTGCCTCCTGAAAATAGCCGTTCAAGTCGTATTGTCTCCTACCTTTACGTCGAGACGCATGCTCGCAGCTCTGGCAATGTGATGCGGAGGGGTGGAGAGAGAAAGAGAGAGAGAGAGACGTGGCTCGACTGGCCAGTCCACGTGGGGGTGCAGGCAGCTGGGGCGAAAGCCTGAGAGGTTGACGGCTGGCACGAATTGTTTCAAGGTAATTAGGTATTTCAAGCAGAAACGTGTGCAACAAGGCGCGTTACCGGTTCACTACTGTTGGTTGTCCAGTCCGCAATGTGTTCGATGTTCGGAGCGCCAAGACTCGAACAGGGTTCACACAGCTCTTACCCAACGTGGCAACTTGGACAAGGCTGTGGATTGCAGACGAATGCGCAACACCGCCGCCTGTGGCCCAATCCCACTAGCGGTACTAAGGTACTACTGTCTTGTGTCTGGTATTGTGTACCTGACCCAGGTCCCACTATGTTGTCCATGTCATAGTATATATATACTACTACGCCTGAGCTGATCGGGGCGTTGGTCTCACGATAGCTACAGTACCATGTTGTTACGCGTAATATAGGTCTAACAGATAGGGCGAAGGGGCCCACGGCACGGCGAGCCAGTTGCCTCCTCGAACTGTCGGTTCACCTGTGGTATTCTTCACCATGGACACATGCGTTGTAGTAAACTTTTCTCAGTTCCGCTCCTGCAACTAACTATATACTCGGAATAATCAGCCTCCCCACAAGCACACCCCCGCACCTCCACTCTGCGCTCTTCATGAGCAAAAACACATGATAAATACTGTGGATTATGCTTCAAGCCCTCCACCAGTGGTCAAGATGCCACCACCCCAATATATCAACACATCAACAAGAAAAAAACGGTCTGGCCTGTTCCTCAGGCATGGACTGGTATCTAAGAAGCGAAATGCAATGAAATTTCCGAATATGTTAAAAAATATAGTACGAGGGAGATGGTCATGTTAAAGAAAGTGTCCGAAAGATAGAATCGATGAGTTAGGCGGAAGTTTGCTAACGTTGAATGCAGATGCAAGCAGTGGCAAAACATAGAAAGAGTCGGCACAGTAGTTCCAAGGCAGAGAGCCCCGGTATTCATGATGCCGAGAAGCCGGGCACATAGATGCAAGCAGGTCCAACGCAGCGCACGCGGAATCACTCCTGGTCCGGGCATCGTACATCCACTCACAATCAAGTGATGCTACCACCATGCCCCCTCGACGTCAGGCTCAGTTCCAGCCAAGAGAGTTCTCGGCCATTACTGGGGCGGATATTTGTTGTGTTCGTACCGAACGTCCTTGACTCGCGCTGCTACCTTGGCTCCCCCGGCTACCAGGCGTGATCCGTCCATTGCGAGCACCATGCATCCAAGCCGCAGCACCGCCAGGAATCGAGCCATAGGTCATGCGGCTGGTGCTTGGAACGGAGCTTGAACGCTGGTGAGCAATGCGCTTGTTCCTATATCGGCGTGCCACAAAGAACATGGCCGCACCGTAGGCAATGGCTCCCACAATAGCGCTGCTAGCAACAATAGCACTTGTCGAATTGACCTTGCGACTGGCACCAATGTCACCTCCCATAGCCCCACCATCACCTCCGCCTCCGTTGGAGGTAGAGGCAGGATCACCACTTTCGTCATCGTCTGACAGGCTGCTTTCGCCAGGCACCTGACCAGCGGGAAGAGGACAAGCTGTATTGATCAGGCTGGTCAAGTCGTTTACCGTCGAATCCTCATTGAACCAAAAGCGATCGAGGGGGTTGCGAAGCTGGGCTGCGAGCTTGTTTTGCAGATCGCTGGGAATGGTGAACAGAGCGAGTGTAGTGATGAAGCCCTGATACTGCGTCGTGTCCAAAGGCTTGAGACCAAAGTTCTGAACCTCGGATTGCGAAATATTGAGACCATCAGCGATAGCCTTGGGCAGGTAGTGGAAAATCTGCTGACCACCGTCGTTCGCAGACACAAATGGGTAGTTCAGGGGCCATTTGAAGCACACTTGACCCATGAAAGTGTCCTGTGAAACCTGGTTGGGCACCCCTCCTGGAGGGGCAATCATGTGAGGTAGGCTAGATGGGATCCCGCTGGCTGTTGGGCTTGCTGTGGGTGTAGGCATCATAGAGGCTTCTTGCACAATGCTAGTTCCAACAGTGAGCGAGGTGGCACTGTCCGTCGCCGTCGCCGACAAGGAGATGACCGGAGAAGGCTTGACGGTCGAGATGGGAACGATTACGGGGTCACTCTGGCTGCTCACGGTAGAAGATGTCGGCTCAGGGGTTGGAGTGGGAGTAGGAGCATCACTGATGGTTGTGTTTTCCGATGCTGTTGGAATGGGCGCCGCACTGCTGGGGATTCCAGATGAGGGCATTGGTGAGGGACCTTCAGAAGCGGGAATGCTAACGTATTGGCTCGCCGAAGAGATCGTGATAGGAGCCGCAGATGAGCCGACCGAGCCTGATGGAACAGAAGATCCCGATGGCGAGATACCCGCACTGGGGGTAGTACCATTAGGGCCACTGGCACCAGACGAGGAGAGACTGGCCGTCTCAGAGGGCGTGGGAATGGTAGCAGATGATGGAACAGCGGCAGGAGTAGACACCAACCCAGTTGGCAAAGATCCCGTAGGCGGAAGCACGCCAGAAGATGGCAGGATTCCGGATGATGACGGCACGCCCGATGGTACAACGGAAGACGGCAAGGTTCCTGTTGGCACCACTCCAGTAGATGGCAGAACACCAGATGGAACCAAGCTCGAGGAGGTCGTAGGCAGAGCTGACCCTACACCCGAGAGAATGCTTGATGGGGCGGTCGGGAACGCTGAGAGAAGCCCAGATAGATTCTCTCCGAGCGAGGACAAGATGGGAGGCAGGATACCCCCCAAGGAGGTAGTCGGTACAGGTGCAGTTGGTCCCAGACTGGTTGGTCCAATACCAGACAGTTCGGACGGGACAGGGGATGGCATTGACTGCGGGTCTGACGGAGCAGAGCTCGTAAATGCACTCTCAGAGGCAGGAATGGCGCCGGAGCTGAGAGGCGGAGCCGGGGGTGTGGGCGTGGGCTCAGGCGAATTTCCAGTGCCAAAGGCTGTGGTGATACCGATCACAATCCCCGTACCCGTCGTTGGAAGGCGCAGGGGTGGGAGAGATAGTAGGTCCGGTGGTGCACTCGTGGGAAGCACAGGGCTTACGGGGAGTAGCCCTGTGCTTCCTACCTCGAAGCCAGTAGAAGTAGGCTCCAAAGGTCCCAAAAGCGATGACAGAAGATCACCAGGCGGATCTGAAGTCGTAGTTGGCTGGATAATCGGTACAAGCACATCACCCGTGCCTGTCCCTGGGACAATGAATGGGCCAAGGAAGCTTGAAGCATCAGTCGATGTTGGTTCTGCAGGCGGTGATACAACAGGCGTTGGGGTGACAATCATGTCTGGTAGCAAGCCGGTAGAGCCCACACCTGGGATAATTTCAGGTATGGTAGGCTGGATCACGGATGATGGCATTGCCCCTGTAGGTGCAATAATGGGGTCCAGGACGGGTGGGAGCAGGCCACCAAGTGGCTTATCCGATGGAGGGCTTGAAGCTGGCGCATCTGGCGTAGGCTCATCCGGCGTGGGGCCATCGGGGGATGGAGACGGAGTGGGCTGGACTATGGGCGTTGGCATTGAACCCGTGGGTGCAACAATGGGGTCCAGGACAGGCGGGAGCAGGCCACCGAGAGGCTCACCCGACGAAGGTTTGGAGGCCGGCAAGTCTGGCGTAGGCTCCTCCTGGGTGGGCACATCGGGGGATGGGGATGGAGACGGGGAGGGCTGGACTATAGACGTTGGCATTGCACCCGTGGGTGCGATGATGGGGTCCAGGACAGGCGGGAGCAGGCCACCAAGAGGCTCACCCGACGAAGGTTTGGAGGCCGGCAAGTCTGGCGTAGGCTCCTCCTGGGTGGGCACATCGGGGGATGGGGATGGAGACGGGGAGGGCTGGACTATAGACGTTGGCATTGCACCCGTGGGTGCGATGATGGGGTCCAGGACAGGCGGGAGCAGGCCACCAAGAGGCTCACCCGACGAAGGTTTGGAGGCCGGCAAGTCTGGCGTAGGCTCCTCCTGGGTAGGCACATCGGGGGACGGGGTGGGCTGGACTATGGGCGTTGGCATTGAACCCGTGGGTGCAACAATGGGGTCCAGGACAGGCGGGAGCAGGCCACCGAGAGGCTCACCCGACGAAGGTTTGGAGGCCGGCAAGTCTGGCGTAGGCTCCTCCTGGGTGGGCACATCGGGGGATGGGGATGGAGACGGGGAGGGCTGGACTATAGACGTTGGCATTGCACCCGTGGGTGCGATGATGGGGTCCAGGACAGGCGGGAGCAGGCCACCAAGAGGCTTACCCGACGAAGGTTTGGAGGCCGGCAAGTCTGGCGTAGGCTCCTCCTGGGTAGGCACATCGGGGGACGGGGTGGGCTGGACTATGGGCGTTGGCATTGAACCCGTGGGTGCGATGATGGGGTCCAGGACAGGCGGAAGCAGGCCACCAAGAGGCTTACCCGACGAAGGTTTGGAGGCCGGCAAGTCTGGCGTAGGCTCCTCCTGGGTGGGCACATCGGGGGACGGTGATGGGGACGGGGATGGGGATGGAGACGGGGAGGGCTGGACTATAGACGTTGGCATTGCACCCGTGGGTGCGATGATGGGGTCCAGGACAGGCGGAAGCAGGCCACCAAGTGGCTCACCCGATGAAGGGCTTGAGGCCGGTGCCTCTGGAGTGGGCACATCTGGCGGGGCAGACGAAGGCTTTTCGCCAGTGGGTGGAATAATGGGGTCCAGGATAGGTGGAACTAGGCCACCAAGCGGATTTCCCGTCGGAGGGGATGCAGCGGGCCTGTCTGGGGAAGTTGGATCACTCGGTCGGGGTGTTGGAGACGGCAGGCCATTGTCATCAGGTTGAGAGGGAGGGCTGCGTTTCGGATCGGAAGAGGATGATGAGGCTGATGAAGCATCGGGTTCCTTGTGGAAAACGGAATCCATAAAAGACGAAATGTCCAACTGTCGCGTTTCCAGGTGCTCTTGAGAGCTGTCATCAGAGGCATCCGTCGTCACAGATGGCAAGGGGGTCGCTGGCACCGGCGCGGTGGTGTTGGTTACAATCTGACGCTTGATATGTCGCGGGAAGTAGTATCGAGGGCGCATCGGGGTTTCTCGTGGACCTGGCGCTGGCATGGCCTCGGCTGTGGTGAGCAAAGGACCGGGGCCCGAGAAGCTCGTCAGTACAAGGGCGACAGCCCATAGTGTGGTGGAGCGTGGCATAATGGGAGGCAGGGTGCTGGCGTTGAAGAGAAATTACGTATCGCAAATAGGTTCGAAGCGCGCAAGATGCGAAGCCTATTTCTCGCGTTAGACAGAATGGTTTTGATCTGCCGTCTTCGCGGGGAGACGTACTGTCAGAACTGGATCAAACGAGTGTGTTTGACAAGAAAGTCAACAAACAGATAAAGAATGGACCTCGTGGACATTAGCCATGTGTGATACTGAGACAGAAAGACGGTGCAAGACTCACTAGACTGTCGTAGCAGCTAGGAATGGGGACTGCAGCGCAGGCGATGCAGTTCGCAGCGTCGTTACAGTTCAACTTGGGATGCGCGTGAAGCTATACCGTCATATTCCACGACTTGTCGTTCCCCAGATGTGCGGTCACTCGGACGTGTGTTCCAGACCCACGATGCAATGCCTCCCACTCGGCGAGCTACTGGTAAGCTAGCAACAAGAGAACAAAGGTGGGCGGGTAGAGACGAGCCCTTGGGAGCGACGCTATTGTTGCCTGCTTGAATGGTGGCGTGCAGATAACAAGGGGCGATGCGCAGGACAAGGACGGTGGCACGGGGGTGGGGAGGGTCGCGATCTTTGTGTGTCTGTGGGCGACAAGGCAGGCTCGGGGTGGTGGTGAGGTTGGTGACAGGGTCAGGAGGCTGGAGAGGGAATTGGGCGAGGGTTGTCCAGTGGCACTGAGGGACGGAAGGAGCGACGGGCGAGGTTTGGCGGGCCAAGGTGGAATATTACTGCAGACAGGCGACACGGAGAAGACGAGGGGTTGAACGAGTGGTCGTGATTCGGAGAATCGTGGGTGCAAAGGGAGCGTGAGGAGGCCAAGGGCGGCGTCGTGGGCGTCAATTGTCGGGAGAGGGGAGAGGGGAGAGGGGAGGGAGGGAGGGAGGGAGAAGATGGGGGTGGGGTGGGGAGAGGTCCACGGGCTGCCACGGCTGGGAGATGCGCGCTGGAGGCTATAATGGAAAAGGGCCCTGGCGAGGATTGTCGGCGGAGGTGGAGACAGGCGGCGGGCGGGAAGGAGGGAAATCGAGACTTGTGGTGAAGGGAAGGGCAGTGGAAAGTAAGCAAAGCACAGCACTACAGCACAACACGACTAACTTGTCAGCACTTTGCCGGCCCAGGCACAGACAGACAGGCGTGTGTGTTGGAACCTGGTGCAGGGGGAGAAGATGGGAAAATGGGGGGGGACAAGACGGGGCAGAAGAGGCAAGGCGCCATGCACAGGCTACGAGTCGCGCAAATGAGCAGCCTGCAAGCCCAGAAGCTAGGTATTGTTGCGAAGGGGTCAAGCACAGCACAGTACCTATGGGTAGATAGGTAGAGGCTAGGCTAGGGTTACATGTGTGGCTATGTATCCATCTATCTATCTATCTACAGATTGTCTGTGTGCCCACATGCACCGTCACCGTACGAACGGCTAGAAAAGGGCGAGTTAGGGCTCGTCTAGGTTGGCAGGGTACCCGACTGTACGTTACAGTATGGGTGTACGGTAGGCAGCAGACGGACCGTCCTGAGAAGAAAGCCGGCTCAAAGAGGAAGAAGAGCAGAGGGCAACCAAAATAGAAACGAAACGCCCGGTTTTGTTGGTTGACACGGACAATCCAAGTGGTGTTTGTCTGCATCTTGGATCGCGACGACACCAGACGCCTCATGGGCTGTGACAGACAAGCAAGCCGGCAGCTGTGACCTGTCCTGTGACTTTGGAGGCCTTGTTGTCTTGGATCCTTCCTTCTTCCATGCAGCGAGGGAGGGCCGCCACCCAAAGCCCTGGCCGTTTCATTTCAAACTGTACTGGGCTAGCCATGGGTACTGCCAGGTGTGGCTATGGGTGCCGTGATGGATCATGGTGGTTGGCTGGTTCGTCCTTCAACACCCTCCCTGCCTCCATCAGGTAATCTAATCAGCGAAGAGCAGCCGTCGCCCTCCCTCTTCTCTCCACAACAGAACCCTTCCGCTTTTCTGTTCAGGAGTAGGTGAGTAGACACAGGACAGTACACACCGTACCTAATTTAGGTACACATATATACCGGTACCAGGCACGGCATGCGCCTACCAGCACTTGGGATTCCATGGCTCCCCGTCTCTTGCTCGCATTGCGAGGGCGCATGTTTGTGCAGAAGCAAAGCAAGCAGGCAACCAGGCACCTCTACACCGCACAGCCTCCTTGCTCTCTTTTTTCTTTCCCTCTCTCTCTTTTCTGGTGTGTCAGTCCGAGCCTGGCTCTCATCTCGGGTGGAACACGGGGTCCCGCTTTTTGTAAGCGCGCTATCACACCAGGGTCCTGCGGCCTTGTTTCCCTTGGGTCGGTATCGAATGTAATCTATCAATCCATCCACAGGGGACCACATGCTGTTACGTTTCATCTCGTCTCTTCTCTCATTCGCCTTGACCATGTGTATTCCCCCACCGTACCTGACAAAGCCTTTACATACGCCTGCCGCCTCGGCTACACCACTAGTCCAGCACACACTAATACACCCTGACACAGTAGTACCTAGTACAATAACAGACAGACGCAACACTAACAGTAACTCTGTTCCTCTACCTTCACGATGGGCTTATGGCTTTTGGCTTCCCTCCCATCCCCACCTCCTGTCTGTGCAATGCACCGCCTAACAATATTGGAATCCCGACACGTCTCGAGCTAGTCGTCGCCAACCCTTTCTTGCTCCCCCAGGGCCCAAATTGTCCATGGCGACTGACTTTGTTTGCTCTCACACACACGCACACACACACACACACACACACACACACCCCCTTGGCACACCACCACCTGTCCTCTTTGTTTCCAAACGCCTCAATCGCGATCGGCACACGCCTCCTTGTTTCAATTCACTGCGCACCGGCTCAAACTTCATCGAAAACAATGAATCAAGCTTTCGCTATACCCTATTTCCATCTTTCCAGCCGTCGCTTGACGTCTTGCACCCCCTCGTCCACCAGAAGGAAGCATGCCCACGAGCTACGTCTCATCTCTTCTTTGTCGCGCTACCATGGCGTGCCATGGACCATGCAGACCAGCAGTCCAATATCCGACCAGCAAATTTAGCTACAATATCGACATGCAGGCCCCAGTGATTCATCGATTCATCGGCTCAGCCTGACTCTGCGCCGATCCCCCAACTTCCCCTGCCACCACAGACAAGGTTCAATCCAAACTCCCATCAACTGCATACAGGCAATAGGAACAAACTCTCGGCAATTCTGCCTTTGTATCCATCTGCCGCACCTACTTGCTGTGCTCACACGGACTGCATGTCGTGATTATACATAGCTTTGTCCATTTCAGTCCCCCCCATTGCTGATCCAACGGTCTAGCCATCGCCCTGCCCGATGATCTCTTTCCTTGTCCGTGCCTCACCCAACATGGGTATGCCTTCTTCCCCTTTTCCGTCCCGTTCCTGCTCGCTTTTTTCATCACCGGCCTGCGGCTCTGCCTTCTGCAATCGTCTTGGTGAGCTTCCCAGTTGAACGGGCCGTGCGTTCGTGGTTAGTCGCGGAGAATAGGTGGTGCTAGGCAATTTCAAAAAGCGAAGATCGTGGCATGACTTGGGTATCGTGATTGATGGCAGGCATTCAAAATAACTTGGCTTGGTTTGAAAACTCTCTCCCGTCTTCATCCCATCTCTCCCCCAGTGTAATGAGCATATCTAGCGGCCTGGACTCAATTCTCGACAGGGAAATTCCTGCCGGGAGAATGAAGGGAACTGTCCATCGCAATAACATCAAGCTACAAGGAACCCGAGGGACACGCAGATGGTGGTGGAATACACGGTAGGAATCGTTGCTCCAGTTTGACCAACCTAGGGACTACGTTCATTGCCTTTTCTCCACCCTCATTCTCACCAGATGGGCATCGAGATGAGCACTGAGCAGAACAAACACACACAAAGTATCGAGAAAGTGTGCAAGGAATTCGCATACTTTCGAAGCAACACCGCGCTCACGAGGAATATCTCCACATCACCCAGTGCCACTAACATCTATCTAACTAACCTTTTCCCTACTTCGCCATCCTCCTTGACCAATTCAATAAGAAACAAGACTGTCCTCAAGATTCAAACCATGCAACACCGAATCTACGTCTGTCCGTTCATGCATACTATCAATATAAACAGATGCGCCTCGAGACCGCAGAGACTGTCACTAAGCCATACAGTCCCAGTCTACAGCGCCGAGTAATGTCCTCTTCACACTGTCGTCACAATCATCATCTCCTTTCTTCTCGCATCAAGCCTTTCCCCCCACCTCAACGCCTCCAATGCTTGTAGAAGCCATGACACTCGCGTTTAACTCGATGTATACAAGTACGCATTCATAACCACACCATCATACCCATGATATCCACACCACGTTTCCACCCATACTGTCAACGGATTCTCATACCATAGAGTACAGGTGCAGCAAATCTGCTTGAATGTTTCTGTTGAGGGGACTGGTGTGGCGGTTGATGGTTTGGGAGTTTTGGGTGTAGTGTACCCAGTTTCTGGGCGTTTTTTTTTAAAAAATTGCGTTTGGTTTTGTTGTGGGGAGGGGGTTTGGTGTGGTGTCTGACAAGAAGGGTGCCGCTGTGTTTGAAGGGGAAGGGCTTGTTGATGCACCGTCCATCAGCGTCCTATAACATTTCTACGATGAGATTTGGCAAAGCTGGAGCAGGTTGAAAGGGTTCGAGGGAGACGTTGCTGGGACCATCTATGGGGAGGGAAGTTGTTTTGTTTGCTGTATAAAATCCTTCCTCTTACTCCCTGGAATTATATCGACCGCTTTGGTCTTGCTTGTTTCATTCAATGGGTCATACCTTGCGTAGATGGCGTTTGTCTACGATGTCATGTTAGTATTTGCTTGTTTCTATGCCAGTGTGGGTGGGAGCAGGGCCAACGTAGGAATCCAAGTCTTGAGTGAGTATTCCTATCAAAGCGGCGTGCCGCAAGTATTGAACACCTTCTCATAGTCGTCATTGGGTTTGTGCACGCACGGATTTCTCGTCATGTCGATGTCTTCAGTGTTGGAATGGCGGAGGGTCAGTGGTGTGCAGGATGCTCGTAGCCTCTCGAATTCAACCTGATGATCCGCAAAACTCCACTGATATGTGAAATCGTGGTTGAATTAGGTGCAAAAGGATTGCGATGGTAAGAGTCTTGAATCAAGGATATATTGATACTTGAAAACCTGGCGGTGCAGTATACGGCTCCAGGCACTGTTCAAGAATACAGCAAAGATTCCAGGCCGTTCACTGCTACTGTAAAGGTAGGTGGGCCGATGGCTTTCTGCTTTCTACCTCAGACTGCATGGCTTGTTGTGCGAACGATGCCATGGACGATCCGCAGTGAGTTACCATGGCATAATGCTGGTCACCCGTAATAGAGTATCGCGACGATGGCAGGGACTCGATGTAAATCCCTCCAACTCGCTCTCCCCATGAAGACATGTCCTGGCCTCATCGATCACACCAAAGTAGGTGACAAACAGGCCAATCTCTGTGCACTACAAGGACGATATATCTGCTACATTGTTGACGAGATACCGCCAATGCAAGGCCATCATCGAAACTGCATTGGCAAATGTATTACCAGCTAGGTATAGACAATCGAATTTCTCATTCATACAACATCGCCGGTCCTGCTGTGCTAGAAGTAGGCCCTACTACATTGGACTGATGTGATTCAGAGCCACAAAAACAACCATGAAACCTTCACCGGTCCCCTGAATATGACGACATCAGTCAACAAACTGTCCACCGATTCTTTGCTAGGTGCCGCGGACAGGAAAAACGCATCCTATCTCCAACCATGGAACGTCTCGAGAGTAGTGCCTCGATGTACCGGTATTGCATTTGAGATGAAGAGCATGGGCATCAACGTGGCTTGGAGATGACGAAGCCGATTTCCGAAAATGGGAAGACGAGGATGTACCGTAAATGCACTGCTGAATGTACACATCCAAAATACAAACCTTGGGACGATTACACCGATGGCCACAATCTATCTTGACTTTTTGCTTCGAGCACTTGGTCAACAGTGGCCTGTCGTTCGAACGGGTGGGTGTGCTTATCAACCCATTTGAACTAGACCGTCTGACAACGCGTGGTAAGGGCGGTCCGATAAGACTTTCCAGCACCGATATCGGACGAATGGGCATCAAGGATTGCAGGCAAGCGTACCGTAGTACAGTACAGTTCTCAGCATGGAATACTACGGCAAACCTACCGTTCTGTCGTTGGAAGTACAGTTGGGATCACCTGTCCATGACGGGGAGTAGAGTACATGGGCTTCATCATGCGGGATGGGCAGCGTTATTGCACATGTGCTGGGCCTTTCCGCGGGGATGATGGACGGTGGGAGATGGTGCCGTAAAGGCGTTTCACTGGAGAGAAGTCGACATGTGAGCCCAATGCTCAGATGGTTCATGGAGGGAGATGGGGAAGAGTCTGGCAGATGGTGCATCGAGTCGTCGGCGGTAGTGATGCAGTAGAATGGCGTGGACGCACCGAAAGAAAGCTGGCATGTTCGAGAGAAAGGACCGTCTCCGCAAAAGAAGGATCCGGTACTTGGAGTAGCCAAGGTGGAGGGTACGTATGCTATGGTATTAAGGAGGAATTGATTTCTTACAGCAACGTCGCCACCGATCCCAGTAATCAAGCGGATAATGTCAAGTCTAGAAGTCTGGCTGACCTGGCAATGATTGCATGTGTCAGCCGTCGTCATGGCGTCGACATGTATTCGCCATGTGCTGTGTGACCCCCCCCCCCCCCCCACCACCACGGATGAAGAAAACTCCTGGGACAACGAGATGGTGATTGGTCAATCGTCGCATCTTGAAGCCCTGTCGGTGTCGAGAATTCATGTGCCGTGACGAACCAGACCGAGAGCCAGACATTGCAGGCGCCACGAAGACTCATGTCCACAAGGGCGTACCGGTACTACTACTCCACGAGCAAAAGGTGCGCGGCAGATGAGGGGGGAGGACACGAAAAACCGACAAAGACAGTACGTGGATCGCCAGTGTTATCGATATCGGCAAGCACGCGGGAAATCGGGGCGAGTGAACGAGTGGAGCTTGTTGGTCAACGGCAACGGCCACAGTAGAGCAAGTCGTAGAGTACGCAGTGACTAGAAACTTAGTGCATCCAACGAACCAGCCCAGCACGCGGCGCAGGAAACAAGCCAAGGAGAAGAAGAGAAAAACAAAGGCAAAAACGGAAAAAAAAAAGGAAAAAAAAAAGGAAAAAAAAAAGGAAAAAAAGTGTACCCTTGATTCTAGACTGGCAAACTACTGCAAGACGAGGAAGAGCTTGCACTTGCCTTTCTGCGTCATCCGCCTGTCAGCCTACGTGTCTGGCGTCTGTGACGAGTTTTTTCCTTCTTTTTGATTTTTGGGCAACTCTTGTCCGCTTGTCTGCGAGTTTCTCGGCGGCTATGATGGCTCATGTGGGTGGGACGTGAAAAGCCTACAGGGACGACTAGTAGCGAACTAGTGGGTGGCAAGTCTCTTTCCAACCCGACAAGGTTGCTGCCAGTTGAATTCCAGTCCGATGAGAGGAGTGCTCGTCGTAATGCTCAGGGACTTTCTACCGTCATCCAACTGCCTCATGCGCTGCAAATAGAGCGACGAGCAAACAGCCAAACACAGGATCATAGCATAGCGAATAGTCCACACAAAATATAGGCAATCAAGATTGTGTATTCTCCACATCAACTACTTTACACCAAACCGGGAGCAGAATCTACCATCAGACTCCTGTCCCTCTTCTAGATACCACGGCAAAGAGTCAAGCTCTTCAAGAAGTAAACAAATGGAAAAAACGACATGTATCCCGCTAGCCAACATGGGGAGACCAGAGCCCTAGAAAGTGGTATATCATGACTTCGTGAGGTGGAAAACAACGGCCAAAACAGAGCGCAGAGACTTTGCTTCTTGTCCGTGACGCAGGGGGCATGTGCTCGAGGCAGCAAGATACGGGATGATTGACAAAGCTAGGTCATGACGGGTGCGCGGTCGAATTGGTGTATTAAAATGAATAGATTGGCCTGCGACGCTGTCTACCCGTCATTACCACAGCTCGCCGTCCTCTTTCTCCGGTGCTGCTCACTGTACTGTCTCCTGGATATATTGCGAAAATAAATAGTCTGCTGACTGTGGACTTGGTATATACAACACTGATTTTCCAAAACAGGCAGTGCCAGTATACACACTGTCGAATCGGGTTGCCTATGCGCGGAAAGGCTGGTGGCGGCGAGCGTGGCCGTGCGCGTGCCTCTTTGCATTGACATACTCGTAGGCGGTGACATAGACGACCTCGACCTGTGTCTTGGTTTTCGGGTCGGACTCGTCCTCCTTGTTGACAACGGCCACAGGGGTGACAACGGGAGGCTGCGCCTCGTACTCGTCGTCGTCGATAGGAGAGGCAGCGGGAGCAGGCGATTGGGCCTGGCTGGAAGAGGCGACTGGCGAAGGCGTGGGCGAGGGGGCATCCGAAGGGGCATCCGACGCAACAGGGGCGGGCTTGTACTCCTCAGTGGGCGCCTCTCCACCGCACATGTAGAATTCCATGCTGGAATGATGATCACAGGTCTTGGTCTGAACGTCATCGGGAAGAATGTAGGAGCACTTGGCGCATGAGGCACCGTCGTGGCAAGAAAGAATCGGGCACCACGTGTTGTCGGCCGAGGCTTTTGCCTTGCCAGTCTGGTTGCCAGCCACGAGGTAGTAGCCCTCGTGCTTGGTAGGGCAATCATTGCCTAGGCAGTCGACATAGGAGACGTCCAAGTAGTTGTAGTTGAATTCTGGCGTCTCTGGCTTGTCTTGCAAGAAGTACTCCAACTGAACAATGTCGTTGCCCTTGCATTCCTCGGTTTTGGAGATTTTGATCGAGACACCCGTGCTGTCTACCGCCTTGTCATAGTTTTCCGAGTAGACCTCGCCCGTCTCGAGGGTGACCATGCCATGGTCTGGGCAGCCATCCCCCTTGAGGACCGACCAGAGATGAACAGGGTAAGGGCAACGGTTGATGATGCGGGCGTGCGGCTCCTCAAAGTTGCACTCCTTGTTGAGCTTGGGTGCTATTCGCTCCTCATCCTGCTTGGATGACTTCTTGGCCGAGGCGGTAGCCATCATGGCCGTCGCGGCGGAAAGGAAGGTGATGAGCTGCATATTGGATGTGGTGTGGACCGAATGGGTGGATTGGGAACAGAGCGAAGAGATGTCGAAAGGTCGAGGGAAGGAATGGCTACTGAACACCTGAAGGAGTGAAGTTATTCAGTGGAATAAATGAGGGTCGACGAAGTCCTGCTTGATGCGGTGCGCAAAGAAAAAGACTCAGTCGGGAGCGAGTGGGGGATGCAAGTCAATAAGAAGGCTGTATTCCAGGCATGGCCAGCCTAGAGCCACTTGGGAGTCCACCCGGCATGGAACGAGTCGTCACTCGGAAGCTGTGGGCTTTCTTAGCTCAATGGGCAAAGTTTGTGGCTGTCCTGAGGACAGGGACGAGAGAAGCATGGCGTTGCCTCTGGGGGGGGGAACATGGTTGGCCACCAGTCAGTAAGCGACCGACCAATCGGACCAGCGTGGTGCCTGGTTGTCAGGACACTTGGCGTACACTGGCCAGTAATTTAAATCATCCCGTGTCGATCGAGGTGCAAAACCAGCGTAGAGACGACGACGGGGGGATGTGACGGGAGCGCTGTTCGTCGCAGAGATTTTCGGTGCAAACATGGCAAGACTTGTCGAGGCATGCCGGTGGACCAAAGTAATGTCGCCGCCATGGATGACGGGAGCCGGGTTTTGTCAACACTTCTCAGCAGGACCAAAGTGGAGGCACCGTGGCCGTCTCTTGCGCACACTGCACGCTGCTGGACAAGAAGGAAATTCTGGGCAGATGGACACTAGACCATCCAGAACCAAACCGGATCTCGCTTGGCCAGGCCCTGCCGTTAACCCGTATGTACTATGACATGGGCGACCCGTTTCCACGGCTGCACACACGACACGGAACAGATAAAGGGGGGAGGAAGGGCATAGGGGCATAGCGAGGGGCCCTGTGTTGTTTCATGGTTGTTGACATGGCAGGTAGGCAGGTAGGCAGGTAGGCAGGTAGGCAGGTAGGTAGGTAGGTATGTACAGTATGTAGCAGGAGGAGAAAAAGGGAGTCGAGATTGGGCACAGCAGTAAACCGCACGGCTGTGATGTGGATGATGGCAGCCGCAGGGCCTGGGTGGCAAGTAGGGTCAGGTCGCGAGTGTGACTGTGGTAGGGTTAGATGGGGGTTCCATACAGTAGAAGAGGCAGCAGAGTTGTGTAGAGGAGAAGAGTGTGGGCGTGTACTCTAAGTTGGGTAAGCGAGCAGGTTCCTTTGATGGTTGGCTGCGGCGTCGGGCAACTGGGCGTAGCATAAGTTACCAGACTCACTCACCAGTTGGACGCTACAATACCTGCCGCGCGCCCTTGTCATCCACTCCACTCCACTACCACGAGACGGAGGGGAGGCGACATGGAGTCGAGAACACGGAATCCAAAGGAATGGCGGATGGATGACTCGGGCCAGAGGGCAGACGGCCGTTGATGGGGATGGATAGTTAGAGTATCGACACACACACACATATTCTAGGTACGGTGGAGATTGCCTGTCTTTTGGCCAATCAACGCCCGCCCATCTCCACAAGTAATCTCCCACAACCCCCCCCCCCCCCCCCTCACGGAAAACCTGGGCTTGGAATCAACCATCGACGACGACAGCACAGTAATGGTACTGGTACTGGTCATGGTGCTGGCAATGGTACTGACAATAGTACTGGCAATGGTACTGACAATAGTACTGGTACTGGTACTGGTACTGGTACTGGTCATGGAGGAGACAGAATCACATGCACATGCTCATCACCACTACCATGACCACTACCATGGCTTACTCCTATCATTGTACCATACCAACACTACCACACTCCCACACCACACAACATGCATCTCCAACACTCTCCACTTACATGCCCACAGTAGCCGTACTTAGTCCTGTCCACTCCACTCTGGACCACCGGCTACCGTCTAGCAAACAGGCCAACGGACGCGCACACCACCATCCATCTGCTTGCCCACTGGCGACCATGTCCATGTCTTCACTCCCCTCCCTGTCGGCAATATCGCCTGCTTCGGAAAGTGGACTTTGCCATCTGGCTGCCAACCCCATCTCCTGCAAGGAACTGCCAAAGTACACTTCGTCGTGACTGTACTGGGGGAGTACGTGAGTGAGTGCATACCAAAGTGGGTTGGTCTGCCCAGCCTGCAATGCCCTGATCTTGGTCAAGGCTATTCAGAAGACATCAAGCTACATATGCCTTGCGTAGCGCACAACTACCTAGCTGTTTACGACATGTCATCCTTCTGAACGCTACCCAACGCCAGTTTATGATTTACATCATGGTAGCAGTAGCACCCTAGCCTACCTGCTCCCAACGCCTGGCATTACCGTCTTTCCTCGCCCAGAACTTGGTAACAACATACTCACCCAAGTCCTCCTTGATCCACTCCACTACACTTCTCCGCGCTTCCCCAACACACCACCACCACCCCACGGCTAAGCACCATAGCCATCGGGATCTCCAAACGGGACACTCAGTCAAACAGTGGAGCAGAGCGGCCCGCCATCGGTGTGAGCACACTGCTCATAGGATCACACTCGTCTCGGGAACGGGCTTCGAGGCCGAAAGAAGCAGACTTCCGGCTCATGTTTGCTTACACGTTCTGATTGGTGGCGGCCGTGCATATTGTGCTCGAGTAGGTAAACGCCCATCGCGACCATGTAGATCTGGCCAATGGCCAAGTTGATACGGCGTACGGCTTCAAGTGGTGGTTGGTTGGTTGTGGATGTGAATGCCATCATCTTGGGTGTTTGAAGGTGTGTGGACTTTTCAACTGCCAGAGTTATGCGTCAGCCGCCACTACCGCAAAGTCGCCTGAAGGAATCAGATCGGTTGACTGGTCTGGATCGCCTTCGGCAGGTCTTGCGGGTCGGTCCAACAGGTTTGTGGCGTGTTGCCGGTCTACCCATGGCCATGTCAGCATCATCTCGTCACCATTGCCTTGCACGCGACTGACTGTGCTCACATCAAGCAACAACGTTGGTTTTTGACTCGCCGCAGATGACCCCATCAGCTTTTTAGACTTGCTCCATCTATGAATATAGGGGCGTGGTAGAAGCCAGTCACACACATGCTTGATGAAGTTTCTTCGAGCGAAATACGGAAAGACAGGGCCCGGAGGCCTATGGGAGCGTCTTTGCAATGTATGCCATTTTTAATCAAGCTTTGAACAAGCATCTCGACTATCCTCTCTCATCTCTATTCCGGGTATAATGAAAACACTTTTACCACCTAGAAGCACGGAAATACCATATCTTGCTGTCCAACGGACAATTAAACATTAGCCAAAAACCGCGCCCTCTTCTACCCAAATCCAAAGTAGAAATATAAAACGGGTGAAGACTTCATAGCACCTGGAGTCGTAGGTAGGTGCCGCCCTCCAAAGGAAACCTATAGTCGTGTGCGTCTCTTGGGAAAGAATGAGGCAAGCCTACGTTGGGCTCTCATGAGGAATGATGCTGATGCTGGTCTGCGTCGGTGTGTGGCGTGGCGAAGCATGGACGACCAGCCTTCGTTGCAGCATGGGGCATCATCCGGGCGCCGTCATACCTCGCCTGAATACGGGTTTTGGCAATGGCTGCACATGAACATGTGACCATGAACATGTGTCGATGGTGGCTTCTCTCGAAACGCGGTCGAATCTACGTCGACGGCCTCTCATGCCTTCTTCCCATTGATGGCCTTGAGCTCGACATCACTATTTCTCCAAGTCAGATTTCGATACTCTCGCAGTTTTCAGACGTGGTCACGACTCACGCCACCAAGTAGACCCGACGGAAATTAATTAGTGCATGTGGGGGTTTATGAAGGTTGGGCACCTACAATATCAACTTTGCGTTTGCTGGAATGTATCCGAGAAAGCCACTACGAGAGAGGTTAGCGGCTGCCCGTGTTCAACTGATCTTATAAACGCATTCGATGGTGACAGGAGTCCAGGCACAAAGCATGCCACGTTGTTTGCATGGCTTGGAAGGCACGGCGGTAGCTGCGGTGTGGCTGCGAAAATGGAGCGATGATCAGGTGAAAGTGCCACCATCTCCCTGTGCCGTGGTTTGGCCTCGCTGGATTAGGTAGGTATATCAGGCTGGCCACCAGCGAATAAGCGTGTGCCGGTTCCAGGTCCGTCAAGGCCTGGGTCATGGGTTGAAGGAGTTCATAGTGACCTACCGAGCCCCATAGCCATAATCGCTATATATAAAAAACAGCGTCAGTCGTTTTGCATGTGTTTCCAGTTTGGTGAGCTGAGAGTGCCAACGTACGCTGATATTGTCAAAGTCGCCTTTTCACCGAGTGTCATGGGCGAACTGCTCTGAGACCCTAGAATGCCCTCATCCCAACCTGCACTGGAGAATCAGCTCATGTGGCCATATCGCTGTGGAATCGCACGGGCCGGAGAACAGAACCTGTTGGACCAGACCTGGGAAAGGACGTACCTCGAATGACTCTGCCAACGCCGATCGGGGTAATGAGATCGCCGCGACCAACAGAGGTGTCAAACCTGAGCTCTCCTCGTCAGTCATCGATCCGTTCGAGCAGGTGAGCCCTACACGTACTGTTTTCCCTTGCAATCAGGAGCATCTTCGTCAAATAGCCAGCCTGGTAGGTTGTCAGATCCAAATGCACACGAGGGCATCTGGGAGTATCAAAGGTACCGGTGTACTCCATGGAGACCTCGTCATTTTTCTTGGGAGTATCGATGCCATTTCCTGGCCGTATGACGGCTTTCTCGACGACCATTATGAGCCAAAATTTGATACGAGGGCTTCAAGCTGGGTCAGGTATATGATCCAATCTCGTGTCCTAGCACAATGGGGGGGAAACAGAGACCGTATATAGGCTTAGGTGATGGAGGTATGCTCGTTCGGGCCAGTGAGCTCAAGGAGATAGTAATGTTTCTCGACAGCCGACAGTCAGTATCCTCACAAACCTGGCTGGCGGTTGGGGTTTAATAGATGACGGACGCGTCAGTCTTGGAGCGGACAGCCTGGCTCAAGCTCAGACATCAAAGGTTCTTCCAGAGGACATGGTGTAGGGTGTAGGGCTTTGCAGGACATCTGTGCAACAGACTGGCCTGTTCCATTCGTTCCCTTCTCTCAGGCGATCCTTAGCTCATCCGCATGGCTGGTCCGCACCCTTTTCCAGTACCTAGTAGTAGCATAGTAGCATAAAGCGGCCGTCGGACCACAGCCGCCGGTTAGTTGTTGTATGTTTTTTCGGCGAATGCTGTCCGATGAATGGATGGTATGGCCGTTCCAACCCAGAAGTAACGTTCGGGTCCGCCCTTGTGTGATCCGCTCGTTATCCCAGCTGACACGCGACTGGACGCTCCACCGTCTGACCAGGGGTTGGGGTTGGGGTTGGTTGGTACCCGAACCACACAGGCAGCTTCTCCCGCGACTACCGACATGTACGCTGTCTTGTACACTGCAGCTCTTCCCGAGCGTTGCCAACGGGATGGCCAACTACCCGCACTGCTATCAACCCGGCCAAGCTGCTCTCACCTTGAACCGCCCCGATAGCCAACAAGCAAACGACGGCATGTCAGCAACGAGCAAGATATGTTAGGTAGCTTGCACTCCTCCCAACGACTCACAGCAGAGGAAAAGACGGATGGATGGCCCGTTGAACGCATGGCGCGGTCGCTGAACCTTAATGTCCACATGCGGTCGTGGTACGTGCGCATTGGTGATATCTGGACCTTTTGCTCTCTGTACACTCTTCGTCAGAGGTTGCACAAGAAGTAACAAGGTTACATGTCCGCTGTATGATTACGCCTGCCGGGCGTCATTGAAACTACCTGTTTACACAAACAGCCCTTGCGTGTAGAGTACTCTAGTACGTACGCTGCCTACGGGCCCCTTGGACAAAGCCATGCTAGTGGCTGCTGCCAATTCCCAACGTCTACCTACTACAGTACCTAGCGCTGACATGAGTGAAGTTAGTCCTGGCTTTTCCTCTCTGTTCGAGGTAGGTGTTGAATTTGATACCAAGGAAACAGCTGCGATCAGCGTTTGGCCCTTGGATCCAACATGGGCAACAACAAGCCACCCGAAACCTGGCTCCAAGTAACCATGCCATAGTCAAGTATGTACATAGTCAAGTAGTCAAGTAGTCTCCCTGTCGCCTGCCAATCAGAACCTGGTCGGAACAATATCCGATTGCCGCGTCGAGGACGATGCATCATCCTCCAAGGCGACTTCAATCAAAGTGCGACGTTACTAGAAGCGGGCCTACCTACTAGGCATGTGGCTATCGTGCTTCTCGCGGCAATCACAAAATAATCCTCTTCCTCTCCCACACACACACACACACACACACACACAAAATAGGTAACGGAGGCGGAGCCCTTGCCGCAGCCGACACACGTGGGCTTTGGCCCACAGCTGTGCTTCCGCCACAGACTTTTTGTCACCCTCTCCCTGAGTTTAACCTGGAACAAGAGTCGAGAATGACGATCGTGAGCCTTGTGCAAGGACTCGGGAGGCCCAGGAGTATGGTCTGGGGCCGTCCAAGCTCTCTCCACTTTCAAAGCCTATGTACGTCGCGCTTGCAGCGGCCGGAAACATGGAGAATCATTTCATGACAGGATGGTCATGGCTGCGTTGTGGTGACGACAAGGCTTGTGTCTCAGTTAGCGAACCAGCATAGCAGGTACTGGGTATAACAGTGTACAAACACACACACACACACATCACAGGATCCGCGGGAACGCAGGGCATATGATGGAGAGTATATACCACAGCACTGTAGTACACACTGTAGGACGTTTGGTCAAAGTCGGCAGTTCTCCGATGGATGCTCCGTGGCATGCCGCAAGGGGAATGTCGCCGCCGTTGCACACGAGGCTCCACGAATTTATCTACTTCGGCCAAGGAATCATCTCAGACACCGATGGACTTGAAGTAAGAAAAATCATCGGCGGCCTGAACGGAACCTTGGCGCTGTAATTTTGCCCAAAAGGGCAATTGCGCCAGATGGGCTACAGTGATGCTAGAGAAGCCTATACTGGGGAAACGGGTCCGCTGCCGTTCACCGTTCCTATCAGCAACATGAATTCTCTCGATCCCTGTCTGCTGGATAAAGGCCAACAAGGGCTGGTAGTTGGTACCTATCTGATCGACGCCATGACTGTCATCAGACATGACGAAGCCACCCTGTAAGCGCAGAAATGCCTAGGTACATGGAATCTCAGTAGACTGTGTGATCTGGAGGCGGTTCATCGGTGTGACGAACCTGACATATGCTTCTGCAAGGGTACGGCTCGGCCAGGCCTTTGCGCAAACCGGACGAGTTCAACTCGAGAAGACCTCCATAAGCAGCAACGTATTCCAGATTGCGTTGTATCTTCTCCCACACACGAGCCATGCCTTCAAACCCGACATCGCGGTGATCGCTGAACAGTCGTATCAGGTCAAAGTGGCCAACGACGGGCGGTTGCAGCGCTTGAAGCATGTCGTACTGCAAGTCGAAGTAGTCTTCAAAGAGCCTCTCGTCGGTGCCACCGGCTACATCACGAGCTTTTTCGTACAGCGCACGGTCGAAATCAATAGGTATGGTATGCGTGTGATGGACGGAGCCCATGAAGAAGTCAAACGTGTGTCTCTGAAGGATACTTTGGATCCCCTCTAGAGTAGAAGGACGTATAAATTCGGATTCGAAGCCGATCAAGATTTGAATTTCATCAGAGTAAACATCTCGCAGTCGATGAGCCTCGGCGACAAATTCCTCGAATAGCTCTATGAGACTGGTCTCGGTATGCTTGGCTTCCTCTTCAGGATAGAAGTCTTCCCGGAGCCTTGGTATGTGTTCAGTCAGCGCAAAGGTGTGAAATCCCTTGGTGATGGCTGCCTGGACGACCTCTTCCAACGTGTTCTTTGCATGTGCGCAGAATTGGCCCGAGTGACTGTGGTGAGAGTAGGGCATGGCAGGGGAAAAGTTGGTCAAGTGGGTAGTGAGGTAGGTAGGTAGGTAGGAAGGTATTTGAAGAGAAACCAATTGTATTCCCACCCAAACTATTCTCGCGAGATTTAGGTTGCATCAGGTAAGCTGGATCCTGATCTAACTAATGTCAATGGATCGATCAGCGTAGGTACAAGTCTTATTACCTAGTGTTGCCGTCTCGGGCACAATGTGGGGTAAGTAAGTACCTAAGTCACTCCCCCCCCCCCAAAAATCAACCCCCACACCGTAAAAGAGTGGACATGATAGTGAGAAAAGCTGTCCATGACTGGCTGATCCATCATCTTCTGTGACAGGTACCTGTTTGAATCAATCGAACTGGGTCCCAAGACAGCATAGCCTAGCGTGGTACGAGAATCGTCGTCCATGCTACCGCCAGCCAGATCATTCAACTATACAACCAATCGAGTACCGGCATCTGCAACCATGTCAAGTCTCCAGCAAACCACTCTCTCCCATTCGACCCCTTCTACAATCTACTTTGGCTACGGGTCGAACCTCTGGCTGCACCAAATGCACATTCGCTGCCCTGAATCCACCTACCTAGGCATAGCACGTCTGTCCAACTACCACTGGATCATCAACGAGCGCGGCTATGCAAACGTGGTCGAATCCTCAGATTCAAGCCCCGAGTCTGCGTCCAAAGCATCGAGCTACGCCAATGTCGTCTTTGGACTAGTATACAGCCTCTCGCCTTGCGACGAAGCACGTCTGGACAGAAACGAAGGCGTCCCCGTTGCCTATACGAAAGAGAAGCTCGAGTGCGATTTCTGGAAAGGCACGACGGAGACGAAGGTCGACACCAAGGGGCCTGCGGACGAGAAGGTCAAGATGCTCGTATACATTGATCGGCAGCGCACGGCGCCAGATGAGCCGCGGGAAGAGTACATTTATCGCATGAACCAGGGCATTACTGATGCAGTGAAGATGGGTGTGCCCAAAGAATACGTCAATGAGGTCATGAGAAAGTACATCCCGGCCGAGCATCATACGGCAAGCAAGAGTATAGAGGACTTTGCAAAGGGGCAGGCTGTGCAATTCAAGGACGAGAGTGGGGTATTCAAGTGAGCGCATGGTCATAGTCTTGTCAATTAGGCAATGATTCTAGTCGAGAAGGAGACAAACTAGTAACGTGATCCCAAGCCCCTGCTATTCAATCGTCATCCCCTCCTCCCTTTCCAGCAGGCTACATCTATGTGTTGCGCACTCTAAAGTCCCTCACGGGCCTTGCGGTAGCTAGCCTAGCAACGTGCGGAGCGTCAGTTAGGATTCCGATAGCGTTGCTGCAAACACGCATCAGACATGACTAGGTGATTTCAAGGACGCTGTACTGGCAAGCTAAAAGTCAGAGGACTGATGTCTACGCACCTCTTGCTCGACCTGCAACTGGTCCACGACAGGCGCAAGCTCTGACAAGATCTCGTAGGCCTTCTTGTGGTATTCAAGCTGGGCAGCAATGAGGTCGGCGAGATTGCGGAGGGGCTCGGGGGTGTCAAGGACCTAGGATGGTATTAGCAGTGTGCTTGTGAGGAGAGAGAGAGAGAGAAAGGTGTGTGTGCAGTCTGTCTTGGTTGCAGAAACACGAGGTGAGGCGCCACTTACATTCTTCATGACCCCGACAGCCTCCTCCGTCTGTGCCACAAACTCGTCTTCAGCCTGCTCAATCTTGGCCCTCGCCTCGTCGCTCAGATCCTCGTCGAGGCCGTCTTTGCGGCCAGCCTGGCCAGGCAGGGCAAAAGCACCTCCCTTGGCATTGGCCTTTGTCGCATCGAGGCTCAACCGAGCGTTTTCCACGGCCTTGCGCGCGCGTGTAGCGAACTGGATGTTGGTGTTGAGCGTGGTGCTCCAGCCGGCCAGGAACCGGCTCTGAATCTGGGCATCCTGTGCCAGGCGCGCCTCACCCAGCTTCTCGCTGGCAATCGCGTACTTTTCGAGCGCGGTAGCGAGCGGGTCTTCACTGGAGCCCGTCTGCTCCGAGGTGAGGGTGTGTGAGGCATTGAGGGCAGCGCGGGCGACGGCGTGGCTGAAAGTCTTGGGCTGCGGCTTCGCTGACGGGGGCGCAGTGAGGGCGGCCTGGGCTTCGGCAGGCGACGTTGCGCTCGAAAGGAGGTGGACCTTTTCCGAGACAGTGCGGCCGAGATCGTTGAAGGACTCGCGGATGTTGGCTGGGTAGTCGTAGGCCTCGTTTGCGTATTGCGATGTGACCTGAAGCATGCTATTGTGCACCTTCTTCAGCGCATCCACGCGCTTCTCGAGCTCAATATAGTCGGGCGGCAGCTGCGTCTTGTCCTCGGCCTGGCCGACCTGCTCCTTGACATATTGCTGCGTCCGGGCAGCCCATGGTGTGAAGGAGGCGCTGTGGTCAGCAGGTCAGCAATGTGCTCTACTCACTACAGCGCAATCTGGTGGGGCATAGCAATCATAGAAGACATAGGTAGCCCAGTAGCCTGAGTGGTGAAGGTGAGAGGAAGAGGGAGAGGGGGAGGAAATGAAGCGCCTACGAGATGTTCTTCCCAAACGCGGAGATCTTGCCAAGGTTCTCCATGGCTGCTGCTTGGACAAGGCGGTTGGTAGTTGGGTGGTCAGGCGCTGAAGATGAGTGGGAATGGGCTGCTAGTCGGGCGTCGTCGGGCGTGGTAATGGACTGAATCACTGGATCGAGGTTCCAAGGTTTGCTGTTGAAGCGAAACGAACGAACATGTGCCTGGTGAGTTTGCCCACAGCTGCCCCAGCTGCCAGTAGGGATGCTCTTGGTCGCCCTGAATCCCTGCCGCACACTAGTCCGAATGCGCGCACGTTCACTTCACCTTGCTGTCCTACATATATGGTATGTACCTACCTACCTACTACTACCATACACAGTACACACCCATGTCCACATTCACACTCACATACCCAACTACTATACTACCACAGTACACACATGCACGCAAACAGCCCAGATGCAAGGGAGGCCAGCACAGCAAAGTCGCCACAAACAACATCTACACACACCCTGCTGCATTGATGCCCAAAGCGAAGGGGGTTCGAGGGTGGTGGTGGTGGTGGTGGTGGTGGTGATGGTGGTGGTGGCAATCAAATATCATGTCCAGCCTCGAAGACCCAACTACATAGTAACATGCTGTATCAGGTGTGCCCAAATACCCGACACGGCAACAAAAGCATCCTTTCCAGACCTCGTCTGCGAATCAACTCTCTTCCACAGGTTCGACCAAAGGCGCTGCTGTGACTGCAAGTGGATTGCCATACGCCACAACGGTATCAAGTGTCCCAGTGTCTCTCCACATCCTGTACGAACTGCCAAATCACTTCTTCTCCTTCTCCTCCTTCTCCCTCTTCTTCTTCTGCTAGTCTATATAGACTTTTTTTTCCTATTCACTCTGCTGTGGCGCATGTCCATCTCCCTTGCGGCAATACCCAGATCGATAGGGCAAAAAAGGTCGTTGTGAGATCTGCCTCGAGGTTGAAACTAACGTGCAGCACACGGCCCATGTTGCACAACAAGACGGGTCTTTTCGCTTCATTCTGCCTCTTCCGCCCAAGTGTGCTTCAAGGACCGTTGCACTTATAATGGCTGTTGTGCACTCGGCCTGCAGCATGCGTCGGCTGTGCCACGCTGCCCGATCCACTTAATCACAGACGCCTCTCGGAACCCCATCTGCGTGCTAGAGTCGCAGGGCTGACTACAGCGTTTCCGATCCTCTCTACCACGCTGTCACCACCGCCTTCGCCGGCGCATCTTGGTCTCATGTGACGTAACCTGCCGTACTCTGATCCAACAACAGTGTGCACAGCATTTGGACAACGACAGATGGTAGCAGACAAAAACGCCCGGTCATTGGAATCCCGATCCGTACGCTTCCGCCTCTGGTCGCTTGCCATCGGTTCCATGCCCCGAATTCCACGCAGGAGATCCGTACATGTCGTTTTCCTTTACACTCGCATTACCTAGGCCATCCGCGCTCGTCACTGTCATATTGTCTGACGGAGGAGAGTCGCTGATGGTCATGGAACTGAAGATGCCCCTCATCTCGCGCAAGTCGTCAGAGACCTGATCTTTCGGTGCCTGACTTCTGTCTCTGATGAAGTCTTTGATCGACCGAATAATGGGCGGACAACCTTCATCATTCGGTAGCCACCAGTCAGAAGGCCCAATGCCCATTGATTCGAGCATACGGTTCCGGAGGACGTCTGAGTAAATGTACCTGCCATGGCATTAGTTTCATTGCTTTGGACTAGGCTGCAAAGGATGTGTTTTGACAGGAGTGTAAATCGATAAAGGAAACGTCTGGAGAGCAGCAAATGGCCTTGTACATACCCAGCAGCTTCAATCTTGGCAAAAGTTTTGCGGCACCAAGACACCGTCTTTGCATCCTTGGGCAAGAAAAGGGTTGCAATAGCAAAACAAACTTGCGCCTCCACTAGTGTACCTGGTGGGGCGTCGGGGTACGCACACATGGCCTCGAAGAGCTGTATTGCCCGATAGGCGGTTTTGGTGACTTCTGGACTGGGCGGTTGTTTCAGGGCCATGGACGAGGATATATTGAACATGAAGATGATCCCCCATGTGTCCAAGAAGAGGTAATTGGACGTCCATAACGGCTCACCCCAAATCAAATCTGGCTCATAGGGGTCGACAATATCCGCAGGATCGGCCTCTCCTGGTATGCGATGGACCTTGTGGGCAGGGTTCACAAGAGCCGGCCCCAAGCCATCCTGCAAGCTTTCCACTTGCTCTCGCAATATCGGTAGCTGATGCATAAAGTCTTGAGGGGTGATGAGACCCTTGCCAGCACGGGCAAACAAGTCATTCGAGTCCTTGGCAACCAAACGTGAATGCGCGAGGCGTTCCTCATACTGCATGCCAACGTCGTCGGGATTTTCCGCAACCTTTCTCACATAGCAGTCATGTACTGCTACATACCACTCTCGGCCAAGGACTGCTTCTCCGCCAGACTGAAAGCCTACAAAGAGGTCGAAACGCGTGTACCAGAGAATGACCTTGAGTAGAAAGTCGGATTCTGTCATGCTTTGTGGCGTATACAACCGGGTGAGCATCTCAAAGGCGGCCTTGTGATGACCCATCAGATTCACCCAATCGCCCAGCAATTCCTACGTGCAAAAACGTTAATCTCAGACCTCAGTCGCCCCTTGAGGATGCCTTACCTCGATACTTGCGAGCTGGAGAATGGTGAGGAAAGTGGGAAGGCCTTGTTTCTTATTCTTGGTGATGGAAACTCGCAATCGGGAGACGGATTCATTGTAGAACTGGAGGAAATTGGACATGCGACCGTCTGGTTGGGAGAGGGTGTGGAAGTAGGCTGCATAGCCGGCGACTGCGTATTTCAGAGGCTCAAACTTCATCGCGCGAGACAGGAAATCGCCCTTGAAGAAGTTGTGTGCATCGCGTTTGAGGGAATAATGGTGGACCGTGATGTGCGTCTGGAAGTAGTTCAGGTAGAACTGGAGATCACGAGCCATGGCTGAGCCAGGCTTGGTAGCCGTACAAGGTTTGGCAGCTTGCGCACTGCCTTTGCGAGATAGTGGTGGACGCACAGTCGGTGGAACCGTCGAAGAGGCCTCTGTCGACGGTGACGTGCTCGGATCGAGGATCGAGCGGGGCGTGTGTGACGAGTCTCGCAGATCCTGACTTTTGGACGCTGCATCGTCGTCGAAATCAACATCGTCGTCGTCGTATTCGTCGTCGTCGTGAATGGGCGGAAGACGGTCCCCTCCGTCCTGGTCATGGTCCTCCGGTGACGAAGCATCGTCCGCAGAGGATGATTTTCCCGGCCGGGACCCACTGCGCGACGTCTTTTGACCAGATTGAGAATCTGGATACTTGCACTCTCGGTTTCCCTTGCGGCATCCTAGAAAGAGCATGTCAGATGATCGTCCGGTCAGGTCAGCAAGAACATGTGCGAGAGGCACTCACGCTCACAGGTCGGATGGTTCTCGTCACACTGCGAGGCACATCAGCTTCTGCGTTGATCGGGGTACAAGCACATGGACGAAACAGAATCGTACCTTGACTCTGCGTTGCCTGCATGTGAAGCAGCCACTCCTCGTTCTGCGGTGCTTTACCGGCTCACCTGGGACCAGGCGCCGACGCGCGCGCCCACTCCCTGGCACTGAGCCCATGGCGCCAGACCCATCCTCGTACTGGTCCATGTAGCTGGACTGCCCAGCAGGAGGGTCTGCAAACGACAGGAAGGAGGGAGGCACGCCAGGACGAAAAGGATTCTCTGGCAATGTTGGTGCGTAGGAAGCATGGGCAGCCATGGACGAGGGTGCAGCATGGTGAATGTTGGCTCTGGGGATTGACGAGGGGTCCACGTGGTAGTAGTGAGGCGGGATGTTGTGGCCCGGGGGAGGATAATATCCAGACATACTGTGACGGCTACGGCTTCGGCTTCGCAAAAGGTGTGCGCAGTGATGGGACGGTGATGGCCGTTGGTGGTGGTGGTGGTGATGGTGGTCAGGGTCGTGGTGGTAGTGTTGGTAGTGTTGGTGGTTGGCTGGATGGTAGGTTGTTGTTGTTGTGGTGGTGGTGGTGGTGGTGGTGCTTGCACTTGCTGCTTAGGCTTGCCGCAATAAGATCAACGTCATTCAAGGTCCAGGGCGTCCAGGGATTTGTGGGCAGGGATCCTGACGATCGCGCCGTGTTTCGACAATTGGGGGGAAAGGGGGGCAGGCAGCGGGCCCACGGTATACAGTGTTTCTGGAAGGGAGGGGGATGGTGGATTTACATATATGTAGGTACATACATACAGTACACACCCACAGTATAGTACACCGACAGTATACACACCCACACACCCACACACCCACACATACACACAGTACAGAATCACAGTACAGAATATCACGGGCAAGGGTTTGCCTGTTTTGCTCTCCTCAGTCCCCGGCGGCAGATTTGCGTCGAGTATGGAGGAAGAGACTGAGGCTGATGCACGCTGAGCGGGTGTTTTGGGCCCTGACTTAGCTCGACCACCAAGCGCCCTTTTAAGCTGTCCGGAGTCCAGACTATGATCCACCCTCTTTCCCACACACACACACACACACACACACACACACACACACACACACACCTCCCCCCCCCCCCCCTCTCTCTCTCTCTCTCTCCACCACCCCCCCGGAGCGGCGCACGGGGGAGGGGGCCCCCCACTGCAGTATCTGGGAAAAAAAAATGCTGGGGCTTTCCCTAACTTGACAGCGCTGAAGAAAAGGCCTCAGGCACCCCCTGGGGAAGTTTGTGCTAAGTTCTGACCATGATATCAGCCCCACTTCTGGGTCCCATAAAAA